TAAATTTGATGATCTAGTGAATAATTTGTGTTGAAATTTGGGAATTAGATAGGAAGTGGATAAGTGACCAGTATAGATCATAAGAACAAGAAAGTGTAGTTTACAAGAGATATTCTGGGATATTCCTACATCTAAAACATTTAGTATTAGAGCATTAATCGTACACACTGCATGAACTAGTAGAACCCAAATTAATTTGTAATTGTGCTAAAATTTTATTAGCATGACCTATATTATCTTGTCTCATCTTCTCTTCCAAAGAGATCTTAAATCTTGTTCAATCTTTTAATCCAATCACAAATTTCATGGAAAATTTATTCTACATAGCTGTATAAAGATGGTTTAACTTGAGTTTCTCACTTCCTCTTGGCTTGCTGCTGTTAGATACTATGATAGGTCTAGTAGAATGTGATAGTTATCTAGTATATAATGTTGTACTGGAGTATTTTAGTGTTAATATTTAAAACTTTAGTAGGTAGCTACTGATCATATTCTCTACAATATCATTCCCAACTGCTTGTATTTGAGTTGTTTTTTTCATACATTTAGTATCAAAAGTTATTATGTCCAATAGCTGGTTTTTTTCTTGCAATTTATAATTTAACCTGATGGCTGCTGTTCTCCAGGGTACTCAATTATATGATCCAAAAGCTGGTGGGTGGCGAGACCTGGGTATGCTTGATGTTATGCAAGTAAGGCATCAAATTTCCTGTTAAAGGAAATATGAACTGTTTATATGATCGAAAAAATGCTTTTTGTTTTCATTATTAGTTGAAAAAAGTGCTACCATATTTTTGTTTTCTTTCCTGTTTTTATAGGAAACTAATTGAAACATGTTAGACACCTAACAGAAACAGTGAAAACAACTTTTCTCATTTTCATTGGTCCCTATCAAACTTTTGAAAATAGTAAACAGCCCCTTATTTTTCTGCATTAGCTAAAAGGCTCTTTCTATGACATTTTGATGTAGATATTTGGGCGAGCTGGGAGACCTCAGTTTGACAAAAGTGGTGAAGGTATTATAATTACATCTCATGACAAATTAGCTTATTATCTACGACTGCTGACAAGCCAACTCCCAATTGAAAGCCAGGTAATGATAACATGTTCATGTTTGTTCTTTGAATCTTTGTCTTTATATCATGCATAAGATTTCCATAATGTATTTGGCATTGTGTTCAATGACTTATTTCATCCTTTGCAGTTTATTAGCTCCTTGAAAGATAATTTAAATGCAGAGGTGGCATTGGGTACTGTAACTAATGTTAAGGAAGCCTGTGCATGGCTGGGCTATACTTATCTTTTCATAAGGATGAGGATGAATCCCTTAGCCTATGGTATTGGGTGGGATGAGGTACTAAACTACAAACTTTACTTTTGTTGTACAAGTTATATGATATATTTGTATGTTTTTGGCTTGTTTATGTTTGATGTATGTTTTCACTTAACTAACCTCCAATGTAAAAAGGTGTATGATAGAAAGCATTAGGTAGGGCTGAGTGCAGGGGATTGAACCTAAATGTGTTATCATCAACTGTATAACTGGCTTAATACAAACTATTTAGATATATAGGAGGTTTCATTTGAGAAAGGAAGTTTCTTGTGCAAAAGGAAAGGAGTGGGAGAGCCACAAGGTTCTTAAACATCCAAGCAGCTGTGTGCTAGAGTAGCTAACTTATTCTGTTATTCCTCTATAATTCCCTTGCCCAGCCCATGGATGATCCTTTATCAGATTGATTCATATGCAGGTAGAGGAGAGCTCCATCAATAGTATTAAATTTCTTCAATCCATTAAAATGTAGATTTGTAGATGACAATTCTAGTTGTAACCTTAAATGGTAAGAGTTGTGATGTGAAGGAAGGTTCATCCTAAGAAGCTATACTATTGTTTTCTGTAAGAAAGTCGTATCATACAAAACTACAAATACATGTTTCTAATTCAGATTTTGGGGACGTACCTGTCTTCTGGTATTTGAGGTTTGTTAGGAGGTGTGCTCTCTGGTTGTTTTGATTTTCAATTGTGTCTAGCCTGCCCCAGCCAAACAGGCTATGTTTTGAAAACCTACGGATTAAAGAAATAAGAATAAAAAATTTAGTATCCGTGGTTTTCATTGATACCGGTGGTTTATTCTAAAAAAAATTTGTGTTTTTAAACAAATTATCTAAAAATTACTCTCTAAAATTATGAATTCAAATGAATTACAATCCAAAAGTACAAATCCACATAAAATTGCACTCTATGACTAAGTACAAATAAATAGAACTTAAAACATAAGTCCAAATAAATAATACTCAAAGCATAAATCCAAATAAAATTAATCCCAAACAATTTTAATACGCAAGTCTAAACAAAAATTCATAGTTCAATAAAATTTCACTCCAAGAATGTTGTTTTCCTCATCAGTACGTTTATTTTGACTACCTAATTTCTAAAACAAATAATATACAAATAAAACTCATGAACAATTAATCTAGTGATATTATTGGTAAAATTAGAATGAAATATTAAGGAAATTACTAACATCATCAATCATTTCTTCTAATATTGTATTAAGCTTCATCTTGTCCTCTTTCAATTTTAAAAGTCTAAAACAAAAAATTAGTTCATTGATTATAACAATTAATCTTTGTGAATAAATATAAATATAAAATTTGAAGTGTTAATTTGATTACTTTCTATGCCACTCCATAACAAATCTTGGACATATATCAATACCTCCAAAGTATTTTGATACAATCTACTATGATGTGGAGTAAGAAACCAACCACTAGTAGAAATTGCTAAAAAATCTTTCAATCATTTGCATGATTGGATATTTTAACCCATTAGCCTTCAACCAAATTAAGATGTCGAATTCTTGAACTAAATCAAGCAATGTTTGCTCCTCTAAAAAAAATCAAGTTCTAACTTGTATTTGATGGTTCACTCTTCTTTGCAATTTGAAGTTTTGCAAAATCTTTCTTCCAAGTATCATTTCTTCCAAACACTCCCATACACATTTATGTTTGAATTTTGAGCTAAAGAAACTTACCTCTTACCTCTTATGTTCATTTCATTTCATACTCTCTTACCAAATCTCTGCAAATAATCTTCACCTTTTCAATTTCACAATCAGATTCCTCTCCATATATTTCAAGAAAAAGAATAATCCATCAAGTTAATTTTGTGCCTGAGGTCTAACATAATACCTACAACCATCACACAATTTTTACACCCCTATACTTGTCTAATTTTAAAATCATAAATGCAACCATAATACAAATGGGATAGTTAAGCCACCCCATCAAAGTCACATTATAAATTAATTCCAACTTTTAACAAATTGCATTGGCCTATTGCCAACTATATTTGATAGGCAAAACTTTATATTGACTCTCTCATTGTGACAATTGATGAAAGACATCTTTGTATTGTATGGTTACTTGAAGCATTAGAAATGTAGAATTCCACCTAGTTTTGCAATCGAGAACTAGTTTCTTACTAAATTGATTACTCAATTAAACACATGTCTTTGTAAATTTCTCTCTTTTAGGTGTTGCTATCCAAACATTAGCACTTTCTCTAACCTTTTCAATGACATTAGCAATTATTGATGAACCATCCTTCACAATAAAATTCAACACACGTGCACAACAATGCATGTGAAATCTTATCTAAATGTGTTCAATCATAACATCATTTGTAGGTAATTAATTATTAACCGTCAAAGTTAAAACCTTCCTATCTAGATTCCAATCCATCAAGCATTGAACTAATGCATAAGCATGAACATGACTAGCATGAGGAGTGGGCACATATATAAGCCTAAATTTGAAAGACACATTTTAATAATTCAGTCAAGGAGAACAATGTTAATATTGGAATCACAATTAATATAATAGTGAAGTGTTATTATCTCATGAGTCGACTTTGTAGGGTCCATGAATCATCGATAAAGTTGATTTGGCCTAATTGAACCCTATAAAAGCAGCTTATAAGGTGAGGTTTTCATGTACTGATATATTTTCATTTAGTCATATTTTTAATCAGTGTAAGTTCTGCAACAGATGCCATTAATTAATAATTGAAACGTAATAATTTGCTGCATCTCACAGATTTTTTATAATGAATTCCTCCTCCTAATCATTTGGAAATGATTTTGAAGTGATTGTCTATATTCATTTAAATGCTTTATATTGAGAAATATTTTATTTACTGTATAGAGTAAGACAGGTGATTTCTTAATCTTATATGCTTTAGGTGATGGCGGATCCTGCTCTGAGTTTCAAGCAAAGATCTCTTGTAATTGATGCCGCACGTGCACTTGATAAAGCAAAAATGATGCGCTTTGATGAGAAAAGTGGCAACTTTTATTGTACTGAGCTTGGTCGCATTGCAAGCCATTTTTACATTCAATATTCCAGTGTTGAAACATACAATGAAATGCTGAGACGCCACATGAATGACAGTGAGGTATGCGACATTTTAAGTGTTCTGTCCATGAGTGTGTCAGAGGATGATAGTTATACCTGAGCCTACCCCTTGTGCTCAATTATTTTCACTCATAAGTTTTCCCTATAAAAAGATGTTTTTGTTAAATAAAAGTAATTATTTATTGTGCATTTCTTTTTATACTTATTTACTATAAGATTGAAGAAGCTATGTATTTTGGTGGTTAGTCTTCTAATGTATCTTTGTTTTTTAACAAAGCGTTTGAAAACATGTATTCCTTCTTACTGACATTCTTACATGATTATCAGGATTTATTTTTTTATGTTCTGTTTACCTTTTGTCACTCTAGGTGATTAACATGATTGCACATTCATCCGAATTTGAGAATATTACTGTTCGAGAAGAAGAACAAAATGAGCTAGAGATGTTGGCACGCGCATCCTGTCCATTAGAAATTAAGGGTGGTCCTTCCAATAAACATGGAAAGATTTCCATTTTAATTCAGGTTTGGATCTTGAGTTAGACTCTTTGTCCAGTTAGGATACCTGAGTAAACTAATGAATAAGATATGGCTTCATGTTGTTCGCAGTTGTACATATCTCGAGGTTCTATGGATTCTTTTTCTTTGGTATCTGATGCTGCATATATAAGTGCAAGCTTGGCTCGAATAACACGTGCTTTATTTGAGATTTGCTTACGAAGAGGCTGGTGTGAGATGTCTCTGTTCATGTTGGAATACTGCAAGGCTGTGGATCGTCAAGTTTGGCCACATCAACATCCTCTTAGACAATTTGACAAGGACCTATCTGCAGAAGTTTGGTCTTAACTATTGTTTTCACTATATTTTCTAGCTATATTTCATACTTGTGTGTGTGATAGCCTTTTTTGGTTCATAGGTATTGCGGAAGCTTGAAGAACGTGGGGCTGACCTAGATCGCCTGTTTGAGATGGAGGAAAAAGACATTGGGGCATTAATTCGGTATGTGCCAGGAGGAAGGGTATGTACCTTTTAGTAGGATGGTGTTGAAATGTTTCCTTCAGAGGTTGGTTCATATGTTGAAGAAATGATGATTATTACTTTCTTATCCCTTCCTCTTTTTAGTTGGTCAAGCAAAACCTAGGGTATTTTCCATCACTTCAGTTATCAGCAACTGTGAGTCCAATTACCAGAACTGTGTTGAAGGTATTTTATGATAATGAATTTCTTTCCAGACTGCTCAGTTCACCATTTTTCATTGATTTCATCACATAAAATAACCTTGATATACAGTTCTACACAATCACTTGTTCTTTTCAGGTTGATTTGGTCATTACGCCTGTTTTTGTTTGGAAAGATCGTTTTCATGGTACTGCTCAACGTTGGTGGATTTTGGTAGAGGTGAACTAAATTTTCATGTTATGATGCTTCACTTTGTAAATTCCTTTTTCCTTGAAAGAAAAATCTGAACTCTTGTTATGGAGGAGACATTTATTAAAGTGAAGAGAGAATTGTAAAGAGAAAGGAGGATGAGTAATCCTCTAAACAAAGGAACAACTAGGAATAAAAAGATAAACTGAGAACAAATCTTCCGAGTAGCTCAATATAACTTACAGTGAAACACCCTTTAAAAGTACCAGAGTTATGCCTCATACCAAAGGAACAACTTGTAGCAAATATAACAGATTTGTACAAAACTTTGGTCTCTTTACCTCTTCCAAAACCTTGAAACATATAATCAATAATTTCTTCTGAGACTTTGGGCACTTGCAACATACACTGAAATTGTTGAATAAGTATGAAGAGACTACAACACAACAATGTAATAGTAGGTGGGAAACATATTCTGAGCAAGCACAGCATTATTAAACTCAAGGAGAAGAAGTTTTATGATGCCTGTCCACATGCTCCTAGTAATTAGTATTACTTTTATTAAATACCACTGTGCAAAGATAACATCAGGCCAAAAGGGAGCTTTGAATTTCCGTAAGAGGTTAGTAAGATAAAAAAATTCCTATTCAATGAACGAGTGAAAAAAAAAATGACTTGCTAAAAAATTGCCCCAGATGGTTCAAGGTGCCAAATCATTTTATCTGGGTGAGAAGTGAGATGAATGGAATCAAGGAATGCCCAGAAAGGACTCCAATCCTAGTTATAAATACAATCCTAGTTATAAACTATTCTGCATGTGTACTGCAGTCTATTGCTTGTGTTCTGTAAGTATTTCCGCATGTGCTATAATGCACTACACATTCAGATTAGTTTAACATTACTAATCATGAAGATTTCCTTCTTGTGTAGTTAGGTGTTAGGTTTTGGTTAGAGTTCATTATAGACTATTGAACGTCATTTACAATCCTGTTCGCTCTAAACTAATTGTAGATGTATATATAAATATTTGAAACTGGCTGACGTCTCATAGTATTATTTTTCAGATGTGAAATTTCCAACTTAATCTCTGACTTAATATTTTCTCTTTCATGGTTGAACATTTTCCAATAAGCTAAATGGCATAAACGAGACTCATTTGTTCTTAAGAAGGAATTTTGTCTCTCATGAGATTATGTGTATTCTGCTGACTATTGTGGGTATTTTTTTTTTTTTTTTTTTTATATCAGGATTCCAAAGATTCCTCATATCATTTTTTTTAAAGAATGTAAATAAGGAGTTAATAAAGGTGAAATAAAAAACTTAAAAGTAATTGGAGGGTAAGGGTTTCCCACATTGGAAAATGGAAATAAATAAAGGAAAAAAAGAAAATAACGAATGCCAATGATCCACGAGCTTATTGGTTTGGGAAGCTCCCTTAAATGACCAAGTTCTTTATGCCATATGTAAGCCAATAGCCTATTCTTAGTCAGGGGTTGCCTTTTTGGCATAATATTAGAAGCACGTCATATGAAATTTATAACTAGTTATATTTTGATATTTGTTAACTTCAAATGAATGCATGATCAACCATTTCAAGCAGGATTCTGAGAATGATCACATATACCACTCTGAACTGTTTACACTGACAAAGCGGATGGCAAGGGGCGAACCTTACAAGCTTTCCTTCACTGTACCTATATTCGAACCACATCCACCACAATATTACATTCATGCCATTTCTGATTCCTGGCTTCATGCGGAGTCATTCTACACTATAACCTTTCACAATTTACCACTGCCAGAGGTATTAAATGTGTTTCTTTCTTTCTTTCCTTCTTTTTTTTTGTTTCTGTACATATTGCATGGCAACTGCTTCTTGCCTATCTGTTTCTCACTTAACAATATCTTTTTCAGGCTCGTACTTCTCACACAGAACTCCTTGATTTAAAACCTCTTCCTGTGTCTTCCCTTGGCAGCAGTGCTTATGAAGCATTGTATAAATTTTCACATTTTAATCCTATACAAACACAAGTATGTTTCATTTTCCTTATTGCAAAGCTTGTAAGTTATGCACTGTGGGTTTGAATAGATGAACAACATATTAAGACTATTCTGTTATGTCTTTAATTGGACTTGGGCAGACTTTTCATGTCTTGTATCACACGGACAATAATGTTCTGTTAGGAGCTCCAACTGGAAGTGGAAAAACTATATCTGCGGAGCTTGCTATGTTTCGTCTTTTCAATACTCATCCTGATATGAAGGTTTGTACTCAAATTTGTTAATGCATTTAGAAAGCATGGACCTAAGGTGGTTGCTCTTGCTAGCAACTTAAGGTGCTTACTCATACTTATGTAGTGTCTTGAGACTATATGAAAGAATAAAATACATTGTTCATTACATATGTTAATAAACAGTAAACTTTATATATACACCGTGTAATTTTTTCAATATTGATAATTTGATACAGAAATAAATTGTCTCTTACATTCATTGCACATTATCTTATGAAGAGTATAACCTACTTTGTTGTATGAACATGCAGGTTATTTATATAGCTCCTTTGAAAGCTATTGTTAGGGAAAGAATGAGTGATTGGCAAAAGCGTCTTGTCTCTCAGCTAGGGAAAAAGATGGTACTAATGTTTGTTTTAACTAGAAAAAAGATGTATAAAATGTATATGGTATTTGTGGTGATCATATCATACTTTTCATCAGGTTGAAATGACTGGAGACTTTACTCCTGATTTGACGGCTCTTATGTCGGCCAATATCATCATATCTACTCCTGAAAAGTGGGATGGAATAAGTCGTAATTGGCATACCCGTAGTTATGTGACAAAGGTAAATCCATATATGACTTGAGAGTTTGAGGGTGTGTAATACTACCTTCGGTTTTTATATAACAAACAAAAGATGTTTTTCTGTAGTCCTAATAATGAGAACCAATGATTTATTTGAACTTAATTTGTTAATTTCTTTTATATCCTTAATTCATTGTGAAGTCTATTTATTAGATATTCACTCATTTCCTATAAAGGTAAGTGCATCCACCGCTAAATGCATATAATACTAATGGTATATTTGGAATAAAATTTGAAGTTATGTTACTAGTTAAAAATAACTAACTTAACCTGTTTTATTAGTATTGATGAATTCATTATTTGTTAATTACACATGGGATCAATGGTAGTATTAGTTATCTAACTATATCAATATTAATGTCATCTACTTCATGTATTAATCTTGATGAAACTGATCAATAGGTTGGACTTATGATTTTGGATGAAATTCACTTATTGGGAGCAGATCGTGGGCCCATCCTTGAGGTATATCCTTATGAATGGCAGTGACGTGCTGCTGACTACCACATTATTTTATCTTATTTCTAGATAGCATATTGGGTACTCTGAATCCTCTACTAAAATTAATGACTGGTGATTATAAGGAATATATTTTGTTTTTGGTGATTTCTTATAAGGAATTTTTTCTGTCTTGAGTTCTAATCATATTTGATTGGTCAACCATCGTTCCAAATTAAGAACACTGGTGTTAAAATTATTCTTAAGCGTTCACCTAAAAGCTTTAGCTTTGGGAGAAACAGTTTTTGATGCAATATCATTAACTTTTCACAAAAGTGGTCAGGGGTTTGATTCTTGCGGTCCCCCGACTTATAATATGTTTGAAGAATTTGATTTAGCACGAGGTACTGTGTTGTCCACACTTCAAGCCCAAAACAAGTTTGTTTAAAAGGTCAAGTTAGAGATAAAACTATTCATATAAAAAACTTAAGCTTTTGGGGAGATGATTCTTGTTAAGAGGAAATATACAAGATGTCTTATAGGGACTGAACAGAGAAATAACAAGGAAAAGAAAACATGATTGAAATAGAAGTAGAATCATAATGATTAGGAGATGCTAATATATTGGCCCAAGCTTAACCCTTTAGCCTGTGTGATAGAATCAAAGTTTACAGTTGAGTTAGAAAATTATGGAGAGCCAAAAAAGAGAGAGATGAGAATAAGAGAAACTACACTTGTTAATATCAGAATTAAAAAAACATCTCTTTTCAAGCCTAATCGTTCTGGAATCCATGAAGTAACTGATTGGTCTGTCAACCGTTACTAACAGAGCCAAACAAATGCTTCATTTAGCTGAACATGCATAATGCAGGACAAACTAACTACTCTAATACTGTGGTAGTGGAAATTTATATCATTAGGCTATACTACCTCTACATTTTTCTTTTTCGAGCATAGGCAATAGTTCTCATGGCAACATTTGGGAGGGTGGGCCATTAAGTATGAAATTACTTTTTTTTGTCTATCTTTCCTACACAGTTCTGTTATCCACAATTATTCGTGTTCAAGTCCACAGTCTCTTACCGGAGATTTCCACCTTTTCTTCTTCTTGTAATTTAAGCAATAGGAATGTTTTAAATTGTAGTCTCTTTTGGGTTTCTCTAATTTTGTTCATTCATGTCCTTTCGTCTCTTTATTTTCATTCAGTGTTTTCAGGTGAATTTATTTTGAAATACAAATTCATTCTTTAAATCAAGATCCATTCCACTTTGGTACACCTATTTGGAAGTTTAAAACATTGTTCTAGTAAAGTTTTTATTTGGACAGCAGTGCTTTATGCATATAGATTTACAAAATTTGCTTATTTCATACTGTCTTTCTTGTGTGGCATGGGTTGTGTTTTTTTTTTTTCCTTTCTTTAAGAACAATAGCTCAGTTCTGCCTCCTAACCATATATGTTTCTAACGGAATGCTATGTATGCATTACCTGTGTTAATTTTCTGTGCATATTATAACTATTTTTTGTTCTATATAGATACTGAATGCAAAATTGAGGAAATTTTGTTTCTAGGTTATTGTTTCTAGGATGAGGTATATATCATCCCAAACAGAGCGGGCAGTACGATTTATAGGCCTTTCTACAGCGCTTGCTAACGCTGGGTAAGTTTACTTTCTCTCCACTCATCTGAAAATGTATGTTCAAAGTTTTTTTTTTTTTAATAGTTTTCATTTTCCATATTCTCAATTTCTTCTCATTCCACTAATTTCTGTATATCATCTTGTGGTGCCACTCTCCAGCCTTAATCTGTACTTTTTACATGTGTACTCATGATTTTATAGTGAGTTGAGTTTGGGTAAATCTAGGGAGAGGAAGAGCACAGACAGGTGTTTTTTCAATTAACATGCATTTCCTTCTTTTACCTTCTATATGTAGTGATCTAGCTGATTGGTTAGGCGTTGAGGAAATTGGACTCTTCAATTTCAAGCCAAGTGTGAGGCCTGTACCTCTGGAAGTTCATATTCAGGCAAGTGAATTTGGTGTTTCAAATAGATCATGACTTAACATGTCCATTTATTTGTCTATCTATTTTATAATAAGGTTGTGATTAGTAGGAGTGTGAATGATGGAAAATAATATAGTGATGCCTTACACACTCGTTTTCATGAAACAAAAGAAGTTTGAGTGTGGTAATGGAAAGTTGACATGTATGGAATGTTTCCACATGCAACAATCCTGCACCTGTTTACTCCTATCAAGCAAACCCAACTGTTGCATACTCAGAAATTTTTTTTTGCAAATATCTTATATTAACTGGCTTTCTTATAGGGTTATCCTGGAAAGTATTACTGCCCAAGGATGAATAGCATGAATAAACCAGCATATGCTGCAATATGCACACATTCACCTGCAAAACCCGTTCTTATATTTGTCTCATCCCGACGTCAGACAAGACTTACAGCACTTGACCTTATTCAGGTTCACTTTCAATGTCTTTTTGTCAGAAATAATATGTATTCCATTATGGATTGCTGTTATTAATCTTCTGTGAATCAAGTTTGCTGCTTCAGATGAACAATCAAGACAATTCCTTAGTTTGCCTGAAGAATCCCTGCAGATGGTTCTGTCTCAAGTCTCTGATCAAAACCTTAGGCATACTTTACAATTTGGCATTGGATTACATCATGCAGGCCTGAATGACAAAGACAGATCACTGGTTGAGGAACTCTTTGGAAACAACAAAATTCAGGCATACTTTTGTTTCCTTAAAAATTGTAATTTGTCATTTTCTGCCTTAAGAAAAGAAATTGAAAAATAAATTTATTTTAACTTACCCTTATTTGGTTTGTTTTATAATGGTGCTGCAGATATTGGTTTGTACCAGCACATTGGCTTGGGGTGTGAATCTTCCAGCTCATCTGGTGATCATCAAGGTGATGTAGTTGTAGAAGGTGTTTCCTTTTATACTATTTTGTTGGCAATCATTTTGAAATTATCCTTTTTGGTATCAATCTTGTTTGGTTTTTATTTATTAGATTGCTAACTACTTATCATTAATGAGATGTTCTAGCTGCTGTCACTTTGCTTTGAAATAGGGTTATTATTGGATTTTACTCATAAGGTTTTCTATACTTAAAAACTTTCCCTTGAGTGCTTATTCAATGGAATTTCCAAGTCAAAGGGTAACATAATTCTACTGAATAAAATATTAAGTTTTCATTTCTGATTCGCAACTACTTGTCAGAATTGCTGCTTAATTATTAAGAATGAACATTATTGCCCTTCCTCAGCAGTATTATCTTTCCATATATCAGTTTTTAATTTTGTTTGTCCCTTTTACACCACTACACATTTTTATTATATGTCCTTTTTTACCTTGACAACCAAATTCATTAATTTACCACAATGGGTCAACTAGTGGAAGCCAGCTACTACTTTCAAAAACAGATTTTTTTATCGGGTAAACCTTGTTGGGGTGGGTGGATAATGATTTCCTCTTGGCCTGTAGGGAGTTGTGATCCTTGATCATGTTCCAAGTGGGTACATGATTCCCCCAACTCCTTTTATTTGTAATACAGTAAAGCGGATTATTGTATTGTACAGTGTGAGGCCAACTAGAACCACCATTAATACAATGTTTTGTCAACTTTCCTTGTCTACCAATTAAATACTAACATCTGGGTAAAAAGAGCTGTCAAATGAGACAAAAGATTTGAATCTCACTTGGTTATCTACAAAATTTTATTTCAACAAAACTTTGAATCCTTTGCAGGGGACAGAATACTATGATGGAAAGGCAAAGAGGTATGTTGATTTTCCAATCACTGATATTTTGCAAATGATGGGTCGTGCTGGACGCCCTCAATTTGATCAACATGGGAAAGCCGTGATTCTCGTTCATGAACCCAAGAAGAGCTTCTATAAAAAGGTCAAAATTGAGATTGCTGATTACATTTATCTTTGCAGATTAGCCTACTGTGCTGAGAATATTGTTTTACTTTTTATGTTGCAGTTCTTGTATGAACCCTTCCCCGTTGAGAGTAGTTTGAGGGAGCATTTGCACGATCACATTAATGCGGAAATTATTTCTGGAACCATTTGCCATAAACAAGATGCTGTGCATTATCTTACATGGACATACTTATTTCGTAGACTGGTAAGTATGGTTTCGTGCTTCTCTAGTTCTAAAAAAGAAAATATGTATGTAGAAGTGAGTGTTCATATGCTTGTCTCAATTATCAGAGTTAGGAAGCTGTATTGTATCCCATATTAAAAGCCATATTTGGATAAATTAATTCCATTTAGATTAGTATTACAGATATTAACTTTCAATATCATTCCCCTCCATCAAAATATAAGTTAATTTCGGTACCTTTTATTTTTGACAATGATTATAGCACGAGAAATAGAAAATTCTTGCTCATTACTACAACCAAGAAAACTGGGTGGAAAAGAAAGCTTATTGTTTAATAGATTGCAGACAGATGGCATGTTTCTTGTTAGCTTATTAAATTAGTTTTTATTATACATACTTATTATTGTCATAACTTCTAGTCATCTGAGTTATTATAGTCCTTGTAGTTGAATTTGGCATAAAATTAAGTATATGAATTGTTGCAAAAATTGTCTCCCTCTATGTTTGTGTGCATACGCCTGCATGGATGTGCACACTTGTGGGTTTGAGTCTGTGAGCTGCCCTTAATTTCTGGGCCTTTGCATTATTGAGCATGACAAGAATATCTTAGAGATGTTATAAAATATAAAGGCTTGCGATCTTCTTTATAAAATATTAATTTGGTTCTTTCTTTTTTAATTTTTTTTTAACCAATAGGAAAGAATGTTATTGCATTATTATGTAGGTTGCAATCCTAATGAAGTTAGCACTACAACATGTAACATTCAAAATTGTTCATTTTTGTTCTCTAATTTAGAAAAAAATCAACGTTGTCCTTTTTCCAATTTCAGTAAGCAACATTCAATATTTCTTGAGAATTAGAAGATCAAATTGGACATTTTAAAAGTAGAGACCAAATTGAATAATTTAAATAGAGGGACCAAAAAGTGTAGTTTAACCTCTTATTGATTAATTTGTTATTGTATGTTGTCTAGATAAATTTGATTTTTCTCTTATTAAATGCTATAGATATATCTTCACCTATAGTTGGTACTGTTTTTGTGTTTACAGTAACTTATTAGTAGTTCTCTAATCATTAGATACAAGTTTCTGTAACAAAATTATTAAATTCTACTAGTTGTACATCTTTATTTTTAGACTCTATATATTTTAAATAACCCCTTTGTCCTTTTGTAATTTGTTGCATGTCACAATTTTTTATGATATTTAAGTTGGTTTTTATTCTTTTCCAAGAGAATGAGCAACCACATTCAGTTTCTTGTTTTTCAAATAGATAATATTACCATTGATGAAAACACAATACCCACCCAATAGGAGATCTTGCCTAGTCAACATCATAATACCCAAACACAAGAGTATGTTCCTTGTCTTCATATAACAATCCTTATCTTAAAGCCTTTTTTGAGATATCTGAGAATGTAAATAATTGCATTCCAATAATCAATAAGAGGAGCTTGCATAAATTGACTAATCACTCCAACAACAAAGGACAAGTCAGGTCTAGTTATAGTGAGATCAATGAGCTTTCTACCAAAATTTCTATATCTTTCTAGGTTTGGGACATGTTCACCCTGTACTACCATTAATGTATGCCTTGGATCCATTGAACTAGCTAGTGGTCTACAATCAATCATACCTATTTCTTTTAGGATATCTAAGGCATATTTTCTTTTAGAGATAACAACATCTTTATTTGATTGAGCTACTTCAAGCTTACAAAGTATTTGAGATTTCCAAGATCTTTAGTTTGAAAATAGTTGAGAAATTTTATCAACATCATTGTCTATATAAACACATTTTTTCCGAACAGACAAAAATGATCTCTAAAGATTTCAATAATTCCAAACCAGGCATGTGGAAATTGTTAAAAACCATAAAGAAACCAACAATTTACAAACTAGACTAGACACCTCCAACACGTTGCTGTATGTAAATTTCCTCCTTTAGATAGCTATGAAGGAAATCATTTTTTATATCCAATTGATGAAGAGACCAACAACGAATAGCGACATTGTAAAGAAGAGGCGAAAAATGGTCATTTTGGCTATTGGAAAAAAGATATCATCGTAATCAAGACCATACATCTTAGTATATCCTTTGTACACCAGTCTAGCTTTGAGGTGATCAACCTCACTGTTTGGCCCAACCTTAATGATATAGACCTAGCGACAACCAATAGTCTTCTTTCAACAATCATGGATTGTTTCTATATACCATTATGCTCAAGAGTTTGCATTTCAACAATCATGGATTGTTGTCATCCAGGATGATAAGTGTTTTTTTCACATTTTTAGGAATGGTAATAGATGACATAGAGGGGATAAAAGAAAATTAAGGAGACAATCAATGATAGCTTACAAAAGTGTTACTAGGATAAGGATTGTGGTTAGAATCTTTCCAAATAGCAATGGACCAGCTTGGAGCTTCATTTTCCAAAGACGTGGTGTGGTGCAATGATGGTAAAAGACTTGATATAGAGGACTCAACATGATGCATGGGCCTAGTCATGTGGGTCCGCTCTTTCTAGGTGATAAGAGGGCCAGTTCATGACGACAAGTGGTATGATGAAGAATGACATGTAAACTTAAAAGAGTAGAAAAACCAAAAGAAAAATAAGTTTTGGTATTATCACTCCTAAGATTTTAATAATTGGGTCAAACTGGTTTTTTATTTCATTAAGAAAAGGTTTAAAGATATGCAAAAGTTCAAACCCACCATTCATTTAATAATCCCAAGTACTATGAGAATATTCATCTATAAATGTGACAAAATATCGAAATCCAAAAGATGTGACTTGATTTGAACCCGAAATGTAAATGTTGAGTTTCATTTTTTAGGAAAGGAAAACCTACAATGTTTCCCTAGCTAACATCATTCTCAATCTAAGACTTGAGTTTGCTATGCTCGAAAACCATCTTTTTTAATTTTTGACAAATGTGAATGACCCAAACAATCATGCAAAAGTTTGAGAGAGAAGCAAGACACGACATAGACTATTTAGTCCCAAAATAGTAGAGTCCTCAGGATTCATGTCTTTCGTTAATTATTCGACTTATTTCATGCTCGAATAACAAAAAAATTGACATCAAAAGTTATAAAATAATTTAAAGATTTAGTAGAAAAAGGACGTTAAACAAATAGGTAGGATAAGCATAACAAATTTCAATTTTAAGGATCAAGAAATGGAGATTTGGCCACCCTGGAGACAACTTTGAATATGTCTCACTTGAATAAATTATCCATGGATTTTGACTTTATGGTTTGAAAAATGCAAGCTATTCATAAACTAGTTTTGGTGGGTGGAAGATTGTGCTTGGCTATTGGATTTTATATCCATGGATTCCTGATATTCCTCATTGCATAACCTTTATTTAACCTCATCAAATGTGGAGATGTTTGTTGTCTTGTTAGGAAATCTTTGTAAAGAGAAACAATTTTTTTTAGTGAGTTCCATTCTCTACAATAAGAATATTGGGAACACAATGCTGGATGTGGTTAGGCTCTCCATTGATGGATTCTTAACTAGTTAGACACCGATCCCGAACATGATCAAAATGAGGGTGCATGGCTCGAAAAATCATCATCATATAGAATTTATTTAGCTGTTCCTCCAAAAACATTCTTAACTCTTGGGATTGGGCTTCAACAATGAAGGAGATCATGTCGTGGTTTGAGAGAGGCCAATCTATGGGCAGAATCATAGGGTGTTGAATATCATTTACATAAATATTTTTAGCTTTTTTTCAAAAGGAATTACAAATCTTGAAGGACCTAAGAGTACTAATATATTGGGTTCCACATGTTGTAATAACAAGGCACAAAGCTAAAAATCAACCTTCTTCCATTGTTCAGTATTGTCTCATCGAAATCCACTCCCATCTGCCTAAGTGATCATGGAAGCCATGGCCAAGGAACCAAAGTTTGAGTGGGGCTGACAAAGAAAGATAACTTTTACCATTCAATTTTACGAGGGTCCCCGAAAATGAGGTGGCTGGACCAAAAGACATATTGAAGGATGAAACCAGTGGCAGCCAAAGAAACAAGTAGACCAACAATCCAACAACCAAACAACGGACCATGGAGCCAGTAAAAGCAAGAAAGAAGCACTAACAGTCAAAGAAAGAAACCAAACAGAAAAGTGCCGGTGAAGGAGAGAGAGCCCGTGATGGAGAAGGAACAAGGAGAACTGGTGAACCCTACGGAGGAGGCATGGTGTAGCTCCGGCCAGAGGAAGGTGGCACGTGGTCTTCAAGTGCCAAACAACAGCGAGCAGAGTGGCAACGCGTGAGGTGGAATCAGCAGCTGCGACCTGGACATTATTCGGCAAAGTGCTCCAGATCTGGTGGTCACCGTGGCAATGGCTGTGGCCAGCGGAGGCAGACAGTGGTTGGTGGTAGCAGATGGCGGCTGGTGGTGGTAGATCATAGTGGATTTAATGTATCTTTATGAGATGAACTAGATTACAAGATCATCGGAGAAAAAAAAAGTATAATAGCCTATGACAAACGACAGCAGATGGTGATGGACAACGGTAGACGACTGGACAGAACAAACAGAGCGGGATCAACCCCCCGCTCTGGTACTAATTTAAGACTAAAAATGAGAAAAATAGCTTCACAGATTCATTGAGAACCTCTTACTGAAATTATATATTTATAGTAAAAAGTACATATGAAATACAAAGAGTGTAATTGAAAAAGGCTACTCCTAGTTACCAAAAACTAGTCTGGAAAATAACTTTTATGTCATAGCAAGTTAACTAATACAATAATTATTCTGACATATTCAATTAACTGCTTTGAAGGGGTAATTAACAGCGAGCAGGAATTCTTTTTGTATTTGTACTCAATGTTGTATGAGTTTTCTACATACATGCTTAATAGGCCTTTTCTGACAGATGGTGAATCCTGCTTACTATGGACTGGAGAATGCTGAATCGGAATTTATAAATTCATATTTGTCTAGGTAATGACACGAAATATCAAATAATTTTTGAGCTCATGTTATGATAATGTTGTAACTGTTTTCAAAAGGGTTATTTTGGCTGATTGTTTTCTTTAACAGCTTAGTGCAGAATACATTTGAGGATTTGGAAGACAGTGGATGCATAAAGATGGATGAAGACAGGGTGGAGCCCATGATGTTGGGTTCAATTGCATCTCAGTATTATCTCAGCTACATGACTGTGTCAATGTTTGGCTCAAACATAGGTCCAGATACATCACTTGAAGTAAGACGTACAATTTACAGTTTCCTGTCTCTGACATCTTCATTGTTTGAATTATAGTTTATTTTAATTGTTTAAAATCATTCTGCTTAGATTTTCCTTTTTTCTGTAGGTCTTTCTGCATATCTTATCTGCTGCTTCTGAATTTGATGAGCTACCTGTGCGTCATAATGAGGTGAACATTTTAATTGCCATAAAGAGTGGAGTTGATCCTTTAATCAAAATTGAAAAGATCTCATTTTTATAAATTGTGACGAGTGGGATGTCAAACCATGAATATGTAAAATTCCAATCTATTGATTTTCTCGTCATCCATTGATTTAATATCTAAAGTCAATTGTACACCATAGTTTCCAGATTTTTGCCTGTCGCACTTGTCTGATGATCTAATTACATTACTGCTCTTTTGCCATATATATCAGTAAACAGCAAATTGGTTTGTATAGTTGAAATTATCACAATTATTTGAAATCCCAATGGACAAATAATGTGATAAGGTTAAAGTATTTAACTGGATGAGAATCCTTAATTTATAATTCTGTAGAATTCAGTTTAAACTTAACACAAAATTTAGGATGGTGTTAGAGGTTATATAGCGAGTGTTCCTGGGGCAACTAGCAGTAGACTACTACTAATGAGTCATTTACAGACTACCAGCAAGTGGTTTGAACAAGCTAGGCTGCCTGACAGAGACCTATCTGTAGCTTGTTTAATAAAAAGGCTAGGCAAGCTTTTAAAAAAAGCCTATTTTATTAAATAGGCTAGGCTTGGGTGTATAAACAAGCTTATTTAGTTTGATAGACCGGCCTTTTCTTATTCAATGTAATAAAAATTGATATACATAATATAATTTTATATTTAATTTTGTAATTACTTTCATCATAAATAAAATAATATTCATAATAAAAAAATTTATTATTATTAAAATAAAATTTATTATAGTTTATTAAGTTTGTGTTTTTTAACTACGTTGGCTGAACTTCTTAACTTGTTCGACCTATTTAAAATTTGACTTGTTAGTCAATTTACATGTTCTAATATACTGAAGGCCTCTAAAAAAGCTGACAGGCTGGGCCGAACTTTTACAAAGGACAGGCCTCTGATAAACTATTAGGTTAGGCCAAACCTATTTATCCAAAGACTAGCCTGGCCTAGGCCATTCCCTCTCCTACTACCCGCAAATGTTCAGCCCTGCAAACTTTCATTTTGAGATGTCTAATCTCTGACGTGAGAGATGTATATTGTAGATTCCACAATTACTAGTGATAAGTGGATGATAACTTTCACTTTACGAGACCATTTTGCAAAGTTGAGTTAGATCCCAACCCAAGTTTTTAGAAAAGCTATAAAAACCAATGAAGATAGCAAAAAATACAAGTTCTGACACTCAATCCAAAGATTAGCCAACTTTGAAGATAGCAGCGTCCATAGTAAGAATCACAGCCATCACCTCCGCATATCATGGATTATGAACACCAAGATATGAAGAGAAACAACCACAATGGAAGCTTTCATCAGTATTACATTTAAACCAATGACAAGGAGGAGGAAGCCAAAAAACAAAAAACAATAGGATGCAGCCTTCCAAGAATGTATATCTTGCCAAACTTTTAAGAATAATGAGCTCTTGCATGTTGGACTTCGTACAACCAGGACAACAATTACCAACACCTTTTTTAATTCTGTCATAGGTTAATGTATGATTGTCAGAGCAGATTTTGTTTCTGGTTGTCCACATAGCTCTCTTAACACCAAATAAAGAGGCATGTATTATAGTCTAGGCTTGATTTCCCCAGGATCATTGCAAGAAAGAAAGAATGGAAGAGATAGAATCAGTAGCAATAGCAATGTGGTACTGGAAAGAGGTGTCAAGTCAGGTCCAGAGACCTTTGCAAAGGTGCATTCGGAAAAAAGCGTTGTGTTGATTTAGCAGTAGAACGGCAAAGATGATAGCAAGAAACAATGACCACACCATACTTGACTAAACTATCATCTGTAGGCATCCTGACACAAAATATGCCGAAGTAGGAATAATTTACTCCAAATTCCATCTAAGACCCTCATCCATATCAAACTATAGTGAAATTAAAGCAGATTCCAGCAGTGAGAGCTCTATCTTAGATGTAATAGCATCATGTATAGTCCAGGATTTGTTTGATATATGTGAGCAACCTTAGCCTCCAACTTGTTATGTAACTGACTAGGAATGGCCAGCCAATCAACAATATGGATAGTCAACCATTTATCGAAACAGAAAATTTCCCTTTGACCATTACCAATCTGCCAAGTGAAGTTGTCAACTATCAAACCAATATTATGCTTGGTACCATGCCAGATTGATGACTGAAATGTGAATTGTTGGATGAATTCCCACGCATGGCTCTCAGCATAAAAGTTCTAGCTGCCCATTAAAAATCAGAATCAAGAAAATCCATGCCAAGTTTCATCAAAAAAGTCTTATTACGAGCATACAAGGATTTGAGGCCCAAACCACCATCCTTAATACACCATCAAGATTGCTTCCATGAAACAGTGACCAACTTAGCATTGGTAACATTAGTGGTCCAAATAAAGTTTCTAATCCAGGATCCTATGTTGTTAATCAGTCCGTTAAGCCACAAGTAAATTCTAAAGCTGTGCAAAAGCATGTTGTTGATAACAGAAGAGACAAGAGTCATTCTACCCACATATGACAGCAAAGAACCTTTCCAAGCATGAAGCTTTTCCCAGATTCTATCAGCCGAACCTTGCAAATGAATTCTACGAGCCTAGCTGTGGCTGTTGCAGAGATTGAACTCTAAAACTGTTGGTGGATCAAGGTTCTGGTGTAAAAAGGGATAAATCTTAGCCAAGTGAAATGCCATCATTTCAGCTTTTGGTAAAAAAAAGGGGTTAAATGAAATGTGAATTGATTCATCTAACTATTGAAAATTGTATAAAAATACAAAAGTAATATTTAAAAAAATCTGTAACTACACAGCCAATGAAGAGTACCAAATTCTAAGGGTTGGTTTAGTGGAGCAAGTCATGTTCTTGCCTTTGGTAGCTGTAGGTTGGCCCCCTTTGGCCCTTAAAGTAAAAGTAAATTTAAGCCCTTTAAATGGTCTTTTAGTTCAGAGGCTTTTCTTGCATTCGATTGGTGTGCCATGCCTTTATACTAAAGTTTCATCTACCAAAACAACTGAAGCATACTACATAATACCAACAAATCTTGCTAATGATATATTGTATTCTTTTTAAATAATGTTTTTGTGCCATGCACCAAAGAAAACCATGCTACTATACTTTCATTTGCTGCAAAGCTTAGTCCTAATTTTATGAACATGAACAATTGGCCGGCTGAAATATTGTAATCCAAAATCAAATTTCTCCATCAAAGTAGTACACAGTATATTGTTCTTTTCTTGTAGGAAAAGTACAACGAAGCACTGTCTGTGAAAGTTAAATATCCAGTGGATAAGAACCGTCTAGATGACCCTCACATCAAAGCAACTCTTTTATTTCAGGTAAGTCATGTCAATAAAAATGAATTTAGCTTGATAAAATTTCTCTTTAAATTTTCTTTGTTTATATTTGTAACCAAACAAGTTTTTCGAACACAGGCTCATTTTTCTCAATTGGAGTTACCAATTAGTGACTATGTCACAGACTTGAAATCTGTGTTAGATCAGAGTATACGCATAATTCAGGCAATGATTGATATATGTGCAAACAGTGGGTGGCTTTCAAGCTCAATTGCTTGCATGCGTCTTCTGCAAATGGTCATGCAGGTATTCATTCTTTTTTGTTCTGCACTGATCTGTCTTCATTCATGGCAATTGGATAGTTTTATTTGAAACTAGCTAAGGCAATTTGGTTCTAACTTCTGTCTATTTACAGTTTAAAAATGCTTTATATTGAACATTTTGATCATAAGCTTTTCTAAAAATAAGCCAAATGTGGTCCAAGTCTGCACTAAATTAAAGCTTCATTATCGAATTATAGACATCTTGAGCTATAAAAAATACTACATAACTGCCCCAGTTGGAACTGTTGTACCACATAAGTGTGCATTTCAGAGTGTCCAAAGGTTACGGTCCATAAATCATTTTAATGTCCCTAGAAACATGGGGTCCATGGTCTCCAAATCTTATGATTTAATACCCACTTGCAGTAGCTACACATACTTTCCATGTTGCTTTGCTTAGTTGATGACAAATGAATATTTGCTTCTCATGTCCCTTCTATTATTTATTTTATAATTTGTATCACATGATCCACACATCATACGATTTAATAGCTACTGATAATTTACTTGCCACTTTACTTGGTTATAGTAATAGACAGAATGAGAACTTGAAGTGGAAATATTCTTGTGTTGCAGTATATTTAATTTCCTTAGTTCTCACTTTGATGGGAAAGGAGACTAGAATTAGATGCTGCCTAACCCTTTTCATGATTAGATTGTAACTTGTGTCAATCAAGTGGAGTTACTGCATTTGTAGTCATCATTGTATTTCAAAAATATCCTTTCTTTCTTTTGAATGTTCCACTGCATATATTTCAAATCAATGCTTTCAATAAAGTAATGCTCATATTTACCCCCTAAGGTACAACATCATATACTTCTTGATCCAGAATATCATTTACAATTCACTCTGAAATCTTGTGACCTGGTTTTAGGGCTTGTGGTATGAGAAGGACTCTTCCTTATGGATGCTGCCATGCATGAATACAGATCTGTTAAGTTCACTTAGCCAAAGAGGAATTTCTAGTGTGCAGGAATTGCTAGATATTCCGAAAACAGCATTGCAGACTGTTACTGCAAATTTCCCAGCTTCAAGATTGTACCAGGTAGAGAGTCCATATAACTTTTATGTTTTAATGCTTATCCTACATTTTTATTTTGTTTAGTTGCATTTTTTATTCCCCATATTTTGGTTTTTGTGTGTTGAAAGTCCCACATCGCCTGCCTCATATTATTTGGTATGGTTTAAATATATATTAGGCTACTCCACATATTGTCAATTGGTTTTATGTTGGAACCTTAATATGGTATCAGAGCCAAAGCCTAACAACTTTCCGGTTATTGTCTTGGGCCAAGAGTTGCCCTTTCGAGTCAAAAGTACCCTTTGCCTAGTTCGGCAAGCTTCGTTGGAGGAGGCGTGTTGAAAGTCTTATATCGCCTGTCTCATGTCATTTGGTATGATTTAAATACATGTTAGGCTATTCCACATATTGCCAATTAGTTTTATGTTGGAACCTTAACACTGTGCAATTCTAGTCCCTCTAGTTCCGATTGTTCACATATTTGCCCCTTGTACATTTCTGTTTTGGTTTTAACTATATTTTTACTCCCTGAATTTTGATGTCAATCTTGTTTTTATTACCCAAATTAAAAAAAAAAAATCATTGTAGTCCCTCAAATTTAGTGTTTAGGGTCTAAAAGCATTTTTTTTTTCAAATTGAGGAACTAAAATGAACTTTTTTATTTGTGGGAAAAAAATCATATCTAAAATTTTGGGACTAAACACATTTTTTTTTTATAATAAAGTCTCTTATGCATCCAATAATTAACAGGAATGTAATGAAGGTTTGGTGTGATTTTAAATTATATAGATTCATAAAGGATAAAATATTTAAAACAATAAAAAATTCTTAATTTAGAATGACTAAAGAGATGGAAAGCCAATCTTTTGTTGTTATTTAAATATTGTATAAATTTTACCCTTGTCAATATCTACCAATCTATGTCATGTAAAATAAACGTAGTTGTTTAAAAGGTGAATCATTTTACTTTTGGGCAGGGAATAGGTAGATGTTAAAGAAAAATGGATGAGCACTTTTTTTCTTCATATGGATAATGTTGCTAACATAATTGAGATGCGTAAGAATATCTATAAAATATTTTAGAGAGAGAATGGTGCATAATAAATTAGGTTAATTTTTGTTGTTTTTGGTAGCTGTATCATAGGTTTAATTTTCGGTAGTCCCTTCAATGAACAATATTGGTTTAGTCCATACATTTTTGTTGGTTGTGGTCTTTTGTGTGGGCACGTTATATCATCACTAAATGATGATAGACAATAAGGAACAAAAAATGAAAAATAATTGAAGGACCATATACAAAACTCATCATATTTGCTGGAACTAAAATCATTGGAACCTAAACCTTTTGTATCTCGGGAATTTCATCTTTACTAAGTCTATCGGGCATGTGACTAGGATTAAGAGCTTGGTACACTAACTCCTAACATACATAGATTGTCCTTCTTTACTATCGGGCCTGTGAATTATACTACCATTGTTATGGAACATCTGCAACCACTTTGAATCTATGTTCCATTTCAATGTCATGGATGCTTTGTTTTGGGGCGCAAGCTCAGGATGACTTCTCTCCCATTTTCAATCCGAAACAATCATGTGGCCCTTGTGTGTGAAATATGACCCACTGTCCTATGGGGCCATCTCCAGCCATTGCTGACATTTTCTGTTTCCGTCCTGGTGTTTCTGTCCGTGTTCTCTGGTACTCCGTTCTGCCATTTCTGTTCTGTTCTCTCTCCCATGGTTGTCTGTTCCCCATCTGACACTGTTCTTCTGTTTGATATTGCTGCAGCAGACATTTTCACTCGTGCTCATCTATCATAAGTTAATTTTTGTTCTTAATTGTTGTTTTTCAATTCTTGTTTACTTAGATTAAAACTGACTGATTATTAATTATCAATATGTAGTATTGTCTTGGTTTGTTTTTTTGTTTTTTTTTAGCTTTTATATTTATATATGATAAACTATTGTTTTATCCAAAAATTTTAATATAGAGGCCAACCATTCTTCCATTGTAGTTTTGGGGTCGGCTGCCTAGTGCAATTATTTTGGAGTGATAAATATGAATAGGTACAGCATACCAATTTTGCAAAAACTATTGATATCAACTTATTCATTTGCAAAGAATAATTGATTATTAGATGTTAGTGGTTTACAAGTATAGAGTTGACCAACTTAAGATGTTTCACATTGTCTAGCAATGTGGAGATAAGAGGGTAAATGTGGTGAGAAATCCATAATAGGATCTTACAACAACTATCGAATTAATTATCTTCATGCATAAGAATACTAGATTCTCCAAAATAAAAGATTGAAAAATCTTCTTAAACCTCTCTTTCTTTTCTATTGCAATTTTTTAATTATTATATAACGATTTTTAAATTTTCAATTTTGCATAAAAGATACTTTCTCATGCTTTGACAATTTTGGTTGCGTGGGCTTGTTTTTGTGTTGAGTTAAGCGAAACTGTTTTTAATATGATATAAGAACCATTGGAAGTCCTATATCGCCTGCCTTATGTCATGCGATATGGTTTTAATATCGGTTAGGCTACTCCATATTACTAATTGGTTTTATGTTGAAACTTTAATAAGAACTAATTCACTCTTAATGTTGTGTGACTTGGGTCACTAGTAGATGTTGCATGAGGTGAGTTAGGCATGGCAACGGGGCGGGCGGGCGGGGCGGGTTTTGCCTCCCGATCCCCGCCCCGACTTTTTAACCATCCCCGTCCCGCCCGATCCCCGCGGAGTTAGAAATTAAGTCCCCATCCCCGTCCCCGATTTATATTATTTTTAAAAAGATAATTACATTTATAATAAATTAATTTTACTATCTATTTTTATATATAAATAAATATTTATAATTTATAATTATTATTAATTAAATATATATTTTAATTTATTATATTCATATTAAAATATGTATGTAAAAGAAATATTTAATCATTTTTTATTTATAATATTATTATTATTATAACACTGTATTCAAATATTTGAATATTTATAACATTATTATTATAATATCGTATTCAAACATTTGATTATATATATATATATATACATATATATATATATATATAAGTTAATTTATTTTTAAGTTGTCATTTAAAAATATGAAATATATAGTTTATAAGGAAATATTTAATAAGTTAATTCTTATTCAATTAGTTCGAAGTAATAAAAATTTAAATTATCAATTTCTTTAATCCTTTAAAATACAATTATTTTATTAAGATAAAATTTGATATATGATAAATAAGAATAATAAAATAAAAAAATATGACATAATAAAACCTAATAAATATAAATTATAAATAAAATAATATTAGTTAATACTAAGATTTAGGTAAAATATTTAGAAAAAGATAAAGAATAAAAAAATATTAACTGTGTTCATCAAATTGGTTGAAAAGATTGAAAAAAAAATGATGGGAGAAATTAAGGAAATGTGAAAAAGCTGAAAGGTAAGAGAAAGAATAATGTAATAAATTAATTGATATAAAAGATTAAAAAAGAAAAAAAAATTAAAAAGTGGGTAGAAGAAAAAAATTTAGTGAAATATAAAATAATGACCTTATATGTAATAGAAAAAGAAAAGAAAATACTTTTAAAATATTAATATTTTAAAATTTAAATATAAAGTCGGGGCGGGGACGGGGACGGGGTGGGGATTGCATTACCCATCCCCGCCCCGCTCCCGACTTTTAAAGCGGGAAAACCCGCCCCGTCCCCGGTCAACTCGAGTTTTTCCCGTCAAACTCGGGGCGGAGACGGATCGGTCTCCACAGATACGAATTAAATTTAATTGTCGTCCCTAAGGTGAGTCTCTTAACATTGTCTAAATATAACTCTTTTACAAACACCCTAAAGCTACTAAGCTCGCTCTCCTCAAAACCATGATTTAATGATTGTTAATCATTACATCATACGCTATCTTGTATTTTAAATACCAGTTAATTTTCTTTGAGCATTTTTTACGAGGATTATGTTTACATTTAACTTGATTTATAAGATGTTATAAATTAATTATAGTATATAGTTGTTATATTTTCAGAAACACCTAATGTGAAAAATCACATTTTTGTTTGTATTTTTCTCTTTTTTGGACCAGGATCTACAACATTTCCCTCATATTAAAATGAAATTGAAAGTTCAGAGGAGGGACACTGATGGTGAGAGGTCTCATACATTAAACATCAGATTAGAGAAGATCAATTCAAGACGACACTCCTCTAGAGCATTTGTTCCTCGATTTCCAAAGGTCTTGTTTTTTTCTCTTGAAAAAATATATTGTATTATGATTTGTACTCTTCTGTAAATATTATTTTCAATTTTCTTGACTACAGATAAAAGAGGAACAGTGGTGGTTGGTTCTGGGTAATACCTCTACATCTGAACTGTATGCTTTGAAAAGAGTTTCTTTTTCAGATCACTTAGTTACCTCAATGAAGTTGCCTCAGACTCCAGCTAGTCTTCAGGTAAATGATCTCTATCTATCTGGTTCTCCTTCAGCTCTTGTTCTTCACACACTCATGGTTAAATAATATGGACTGTGTACAAAACTTCAAGAAACACAATTTTTTCCATATATGTTTTCAACAGGGTGGAAATGAAGTGTCGACCTTAAAAAGGGGATAAAATGAGAAGCTCAAGTGAAAATAGTTTTAATCATTTTTCCATTGCTGCCTATTTCCAACAACTGAAAATTAAATCATTTTGTGACTCCCTATTTTTTAACTGTTCATGTTTTTGACCTTGTCAAGCCCTAGTAATTTGACCAAGATAGCCTACGTTACAAACTATGAAGATTTTAATTATGCTTCTGTGAAATGGTTTTCCGACAGTATATACTTTAATTTTGTTTTTTTTATCATTTCTTCCCACAATATTATAATTTATAAGCAAGACTTAATAAGAAAGGAAAATGATTACTTGACTTCCATAGTTTTGGGGGCTTCCCTGTGCTTGTATTTGTAGCCAATATTTGTTCAAGGGAAGACATCAGCTTTAGAACCATGAGCTGCATTGTATAAAATTGGCTTAATATTGTAACAAACTGTGGTTTGCTACCTGCTCTCTTTTCTATTCCCTATTTTTCTTGCATCCCCAAAAAAATTACTTTAGAGACGTACCTGAGATTATCCGTCCCCAGAGTCTAGTGCATATGTACACTAGTGAATTTTTTTCACCTATTGAGCTTTTAGCATGACTTTAGCATGGTTGAATTTAGATTTTCATCAAGTTTTGATTCGTTGTTACTGAATACCTTTATTGTCTTGCAGGGCATAAAACTTATTTTAGTCTCCGATTGTTACATTGGATTTGAACAAGAACACTCAATTGATAATCTTGATGTGTGTTAAGTAGTGGAGTCACCATTGGTCAGTTCCACTGTACATACACTGTGTATTTACATAGATAATCCTAACGACCTTGTTTACAGATTATCTTTTTTATTTATTTTACAAGTCATGTCGCAAAAATTGTATGTATAAAGGGACTACAACTGGCCCCGGATATATTCAAATATACGTAAATATTGACAGTGCATAGATCAAAAGAGTTGTCTTAACGTTTATAAAATTTCATGGAAGTATTCCTGCTCTAAGCTCCAAAACATCCTATGCAAATAAAAAAAAGTTGTAAGAAATAGCAGATAGTAAGAACATCATAATTCAGTGAGATCTACAACCTACAACCTGAGGGAGAAGATATACGCCACATATTCCAAAATCAGCCGCAGAAGATTCAAATATCCAATCCTGCTGGTCTACAGGCACACACGGTAATTGAACCGGAGTGTATACTTACGTCTCGTGCTACTGGTGGGGTGGGGTGACGATTACTTTTGGCCATTATGGTTGGTTAAAGAGTTATTGAACAAATATAAACAACTGAATATTTATTTCATTTCATAATTTCTTTTCTTTTCTAAAAGTGAAAAAAATTATGGAATTGAAATAAAAAAATAAAACATTACTGCAGAATGCTTCCCAGGCTTCAAAGGGCGAATAATTTCCAAGATGGTAAATAAATGACAACATGGTTATAAATAAAATGATATACTTAAAGATATAAAGTAATAAGTTTAATTTTAAGGTATTGATTGACACCTTTAGCTCTAGCTTGGCTAGCCTAAGCAATCCATACTCCTTAAAAAGATTAAATAATGCTTTTTTTATTTTTATTTTTTGGTTAACAAACATAATTATGTTTTGTATATCTAATATTTTGACGTAAGACACTCGGAGGATTAAAAATTTAATTGTTATTATGATTAACTAGTCCCTAAAATCACAGCTGAAGTTTCTTATTGAACTGTCTCACTGATAGCATAAATATGTTAGGCATTATTCTTATTATTAATTACTTCTTAAGAGTCTCAACAAAAGCTTATTACCAATTTGTCTTATGTCTAGCATCAAAAGGTTAGACATTGTTGAATACTAGATACTCTACGTCATATAATCACCAAACCTTCTAACATCATTCTATGTTTTAAGTTATTGAAGAGTAGGCGTTGTACATAAGAAGATTAGATGCTCTAAATCAAAAGATATTCACCAGATCATCTAACATAGAAGATGTTTAAGTTGTTGAAAACTAGACGTTCTACGTTACGAAATGCTTAGCGAACCATCTTACTACTAGCATCAGAAGATCATTTTCATCTTATTGATGATTGAACGCTCAAAATGTCGAAAGATTATTTTCAAGCCTCTAAAGGTTAGACGCTTCACATTAGTCAATAATTTCTCTTAGAATAAACAATACCATAGCTAACAAGACCAAAATATCTTCATGATATTTCCTTCCAACATATGCTAAAGTTTATGAAAAACCTACAAACATGTAAAAATTATTACCAATTATGATTCACATATCAAAACCACTAACTATTTCATGCAAGATGTTTATGAAAAGACAACTAATCATTTATTAAAATTTCTAGTCAGTTAGACTTTATTCAAAAGAGAAAAACCTTTTATTGTATATTCTTCACCTTCCTTTGGTAGAAAAGATCTTTTTTCTCTTTTTCAAGATATTGAGGGCTATCCTCTAGATGAATTATAATTCATTTTCTTCTCTATCTGTCTCTAGTTTCATTAGATGAAGAGTCTAATGACTCTTCAAACTTTTATCATTTTTGTGAGGATGTCTTATTCATTTAGTTTAAGAATGCCAGTAAGCTCTTGAAGTAACATCCCATTTAGGTTCTTGGTTAGGTTTGTTATTTGTGATCTGAGAACTACTTAGGCAAAAATCTCAATTTTTTGTCAAATGATCATAAACATCATAATGTTTTCCTAAAGAATGAAACTCATTTAATAGTTGCCACGCATATTTATCATTTTCTACCTTCTCCCCCACTACTGTCATCTTCAGCTATTCGACAAACAAGCCTATCGGAGTTGCCACGCATTCTCATGTGCGTCCTCCACTATCACACAACATCCATCCCAACTTATGCTACAATTTATTCCAGGTTGAACCTGATTTATATTTTAAAATGATTAAAATTTTTAGTTTAATATAATTTTATAATAGATTAATGGATCAAATTTAGCTTAATTAAAATTTAAAAAAAAATTAATATATTTACACTAAATAAATTAATTTAAAAAATATGTAAATAAAAATATAAAATAAAATAAATTTTAAATTTTATTAATAAATTTAATTGTATTTAAGATAATATGATTAATATAAATTATAAAATAATATATTTAATCAATCTCATAATAAAACTAAGATTTATTCTTCATTATTATTATTTATTTGTTAATAATTTAAAATAATAATTAATCTTAATTATTAGATCTTAAAATAAGTGGTAATTAGAGTTTTATTATGATATTTATTCTAAAAATAAGTAAATTATTTGTCAAATTAATTTATAATATATATTTTTTTATTAAAATAATGTTATTTTTATTTATATTTAAAAATTTATTATTATTATATAAAATGAACTCACTAATATATATTAATATATATATATATACTAATTTGAATTAAGTTTATATAGGCCTTATTAAATTTAAATTACAAATTTTTTAATCTAATACACAAATTTTTCAAACATTTTGAATTGGTCATCGTACTAAAATTATTTTCACACTTATATATTTCCTCCCTTTTTATGATACTTTTTCTTTCCTATGTCAATTTTCTTTCTCCTCCAAGTATTCATGACTTCTTGCAGTATTATTTGTTGACTATACATGATGCCTGAAGATTTTGATGATGATTCTAGAGTAAAGAACTTGAAGTCTTGAAGACTTATAAGCACTTGTATTTACTTGTAATAACTCTGTTTTATATTTTTGAGTTTGTAAAATTAGAGTCCAAGATAGTCAGCACATAGTCCATCCTCTAAAAATTCATTTTTATCAAAACCATTCTGCAATAATTGATTATCACTCAGGATAATCGACTATCATGCTTTGAAACCTGTTTTCTGAAAACCTTGCTGGAATAATTGATTATCTGGGTTGATAATCGATTATCCCAATTTGAAAGTTCTGGAATAATCGATTATCAAGCCAGATCGATTATCCTGGTCCTGTTTTACTCCTCTGCAAAAATGGTTTTGTAATAATCGATTATCACTTAAAATAATCGATTATCTACGTCTGTTATGAGTTTTGAATTTCATATTTGGATCAATTTACGAAATCCATATTCCCAATTCTTCTAGTTTCGAAATCTTCTATTACCCAGACCTCAATCTCTCTACTAGAGAGATTGCAAAAAAAACAATCATTTTTCATACAAAAGTTAAGAGTTGTGATTGCTAGAGTACTTTCTGTAGGGAAGAAAAAAAGGATTTTGAAAATCTAGTGTGGGCTAGAAGCGATAAGAATCAATGAGTGGGTTTCTTGGTGGATTGTGTGATGTGTCGTCTCTAGGAAAAGTTGTTGTTCATCCTTTGTGGATTCAAAGGAGGTGTTCATCCTTTGTGGATTCAAAGGAGGTGTTCATCCTTTGTGGATTCAAAGGAAGTGTTCATCTCTTGTGTGACTCAAGAGAGGTGTTTTCTAATCCTTATCTTTTTCAATTTGTAATCCATTATAACCTGTGATTATAGTGATAGCGTTAATCCTCTTTTAGAGTGATTAACAACTGGACGTAGGGTCTTTTGATCCGAACCAGTATAAATTAACTATGTAATCTTCTTTCCCTTATCTCTTTACTTTACAAGTATTTTAATCGGTAAAATTTTGGAAAAATTTTTAAAACCCTAATTTTTATAAGAAACCAATTCACCCCCCCTCTTGGTTTTGTCCCTAAACGTGAACATTCCTCTGCGCGATTCTAACAAGTGGTATCAGAGTTTGTTTTGATAGTCATTCAAATTTCAAAAATGGCCGGACAAAACCAAATATTTGCCGAGGGTGCTTCTATCAACAGACCCCCACTTTTTGTGGGACAAAATTATCCTTTTTGGAACGTAAGAATGCAAATATTCTTGGAGTTTGTTGATAGGGGTATATGGGGTGTCGTTGTAAATGGTCCTTTTATTCCCAAAGTTATTGTAAATAATGTAGAAGAACCAAAACCATTTTCTAGATGGACGGCTGAAGAAAATAGGAAAGTCCAATATGATGTTAGGGCTGGAAATATAATTTCGTTTGTTTTAACCCTTGATGAGTTTTACAGGATATCCATTTGCAAGAGTACTCAAGAGATGTGGAAAATTCTAAGAGTAACCCATGAAGGGACTGATGATGTAAAAAGAGCACGAAAAAATTCTTTGATACAAGAATATGAAATGTTCAGAATGCAAATGGGAGAATCAATTTTTGACGTCCAAAAGCGTTTCACACATATTGTGAGTCATCTCACAGGGCTTGGTAAGACTTTTGACAATGATGAATTAAATGAGAAAATTCTTAAATCTTTGGATAGGAAATGACAACCAAAGGTGACTGCTATTACGGAGTCACAAAATCTTGCCACTATGACTATGGCGACTCTCTTTGAAAAGTTGAGAGAGCATGAACTTGAACTTGGAAGGCTAAACGATGAAGAAGGCTAACATCAAAAGAGAAACTTAGCTTTCAAAATTGAAGTTTCTAAAATCAAGAAAAAGAAGGAAGAAGAAAGTTTCGATAGTGAAGAGAATGAAAACTTGAGCCTCATGATAAAAAAATTTACAAAGTTCATGAAAGCTAAAGGAAAGCAACCTTTCAAAGGTAAGGGAAAGGTAAAAGAAATTTCTTCTTTAAGTTTTAAATGATATGGTTGTGGTAAAACAGGACATCTGAAATCTGATTGTCCAAATAAGAAAAGTGATGATCTTAAAGGCAAGAAATTCTTTAAAAAGAAAGCTTATATAGCTTGGGATGATAGTGACTCA